CTGCCAAGGTTGAGAAACCCTGAAGTAAGTCATTCCCCTCCTACAATTTCTCCTTTTTTTTAATAGCTGGAGCCAAACCCCCAGCTTCCTTCAGCAGAGCAGTGATTCAGAGCTGTGATATTCCCGTGTCATCAACTTGGTTGCTAGACGTTGGCATCGGATCTACCCCTTTAGCCTGATGTCCTTGGATCCTATCAGGTTTTCCAGGCACTGCCCAAATGGGGCCGTGGGGGAAAAACCGAGATCCTAGTCCGGCTGACATCAGAGGCACCGTGATGGGTGTGACGTCCCCTGCCATCCAGGGAAGAAGGAGCATGGCTGAGCTAGGCACTGAAGTTAGATGGGCTTTGATTGATGGGGGAGAGAAGAGGGAGGGGAACTGAAGACGAAGTGGGGGCAAGCCACAGGTGGAACAGGCTGCCCTGTGAAGCAATGAGTTCTCCTTCACTGGAAGTCTTCGGATGCAGTTGGAGGGTCATCTGTTATGGATCCTGCCCTCAGCAGGGTTGGACTAGATGACCTCCTGGATCCCTTCCAACTCGGGGACGGGCATCCCTAGCATGAAGCAGGAGCCCTTTGCCTTACCCGGCAAAGCAGTGGGCAGCTGTGAGGATCCAAGCACCCCCCACCAGCACCCCGCTGCACATCAGCTCTCTGTTGAGCAGCACCGATGCCAGCCACGGCCAGGCGCCAGGCTTGGCCCGGTTGCCTCCCACGATCTTCCCCTTCACCAGCGTTGCGTTAGGGGCAGGGACCCCACGGTGCCCGCACGATTCTGAGAGGGAGACAAGGAGAAAAGATTCACTTCCAGCAGCGGGATACAGGACACTCGGAGTCAGCTCTTGGCTCCCCGAGCTGCACATTCACACAACACATTTAACCAGATATCAGGATTAACCCATTTTCTGGGCTGATGGAATACACCCAGGAATATCTAACCAACAGGGCTGAATTCAGATTAGAGGTTAAGTCACAGAGAAAAAAACTCAAGATACAGTAACCCAGCTCTGTATGGGTTGGCTGGGGAATTCTGGGAGCTGAAGTCTGCAGGGCTTAAAGTTGCAGGGGTCGAGAAACACTGTTCTAGAGGTTTGAAAAGACCTGAAAGGCAAAACAGGAAGTCTTAAGCCTGTCTCAGCTCCCCAAATTGATCCAAGAAAGTTACCCCTTCTTAGGGGGTTCTGCAAAGTGCAAATAGGGTGTTTCGCCTCTGTTTTAGTCCCTCAAACGCTTTAGGTATGAAAGGGAAGGGCCCTGACACCAGAGCAACAGCTGATTAAGATTTCTTGCATACAGCCCAGAAGAGTTTATGTATGCACCAGACCAGTTTTTCTGGCAGGGTGGCGAATTTGCAAAACGGAGGCTCCGCTGATAAAGTTTTTCCCATCACAGCTTCTTACAGCTGCTAGCTTTAAATCGGTGTTTTTCGAACTTGGCCACTTTAAGATGTGTGGACTTCAACTCCCA